ATTTCAAATATTTGTCTCTATCAAAATTCGATCGTCATTAAATTTTTTAAAATTTTGAAAATCCGCGAAATTTTTTGTAAAAATCCGCGAATTATTTTTGTTTAGTTTTACGATGTACACAAAGAGAACATGTTTACAATTAATTTAGAAGATGGGCGCGAAGCGCCCTCTAAGGCTAGAAAGAAGGGCGCGAAGCGCCTTGAATTTCTAGTATATAAATATCAATATCAATATATTGTCTCCTTTCGTACAATCCACCCTTGATTAACTAGGGATAGTTGTCCTCGGTTCCTTCAATATGAAGTTAATCGCGATTTTGTTCGCGATTTTATAAAATTCATCAAACAATTTAAACACAGTTCTCTTTAATGCTTTATTAATCAAATCACAGCTTGTTGGACAAGGACCGAACAGTTAGTTCAGTGTGATTGTGTTTAACAAGATATACACTGTACCGAGCCGACTTTTAAGCAGCTAGACCAAGCTGTACAGTACATATACAGCCGTTAAAAAGCAAAACGGGACTGTACGCCAGATGAATGTATACGTAGAAATGTACTGCAATTGTAAAATGAGCATGAACAATTTGCCAAGAGTTTGAATCATTATTAACGTTAAGAGGGCCTGCTAAGTTTTGTAGGTTGTTTACAGTGTGTTTATGCTAATTAGCTTCATGTTAGTTGGGGAGTTATGGGATCCAAAGAAAGATTGGTAGATATTTATGAGTTTTATTATTTTCTTGAATAATAGTTTTGAATTCAAAAATGTTATGAAATCAAAAATAAAATGTCCTATCTATATGAGTTCATAAAAATTTATATATGCCCCGCTGTATATATGCTTGGTATTAAATTGTGATTTTATCTGAAGATCTGAAGTGTCCTGGATTAAAAAAAAAAAATTTATCGTCACAGCTGGCCAAACGGCTGAACCAAATCGGCTGAAATTTTTTGGAATCCTTTGGCAACACCTGGCGCTTCAGCTAGAATCACAATTTAATACCAGTCGCGGCTAAACGGTGGAAGTAACTCTAAATAGTACAAACATGGACAACGCCCATCACTCCAGCTATTAGTTAATAAACATCCAACTTCCTAATTAGTTTAATAATTCAACCAAACGAACTGCGATATTTGAAACTAAGAACTAAGAATTAAGATTAAATGCGGGCTTAAAGACCAAAACATTAAAAGTTTACACCAGCATGTTGCAAAGCAATGAGAAAGTGATAAATTCCTTTGTTTACATGTTTACTAACAATTATAAACCTACCTTGGTGTCTCTAGACCGTACAGCAGACAGGGATTCAGCTCCAACCCTAACCTAGAACAATGGATTATTTTGATTTTAAAAAAATGAAGAAAAAATTTTTTTTTAGAAGAAATTGGAACGTGCACTCCTGTGAATTTTTTTAAAGTCTCTTCACTCTAAATTATTAAATCAATATTATATTAAACAAAAAATCGCTTATTTGACAGTCGTCCAAATTTTTGTTGCAAAATAAGCGATTTTGTGTTAAATATAATTGATTGTTTAAAATCAAAATGAGGTTCAATCAATATAATCTTTCTTATATACCTGTCTTCTGCAGATCTTGAAGGTACTCGGAATGAGGTCCCCAGGGGCCTGAAAATAAAATTGTTAAAAAATTAAGTTTAGAGATTTTTAAAGATGTACGGAGAAATTCATTAATAATTAAAATTTAACATATCTATACTTTGCTTGTCTGTCTGTCTGTTTGTCTGCATACAAAAAGAAAATATTCAACATGGAAATAGAAGATGGGTGCGAAGGCTTGTAAATTATAAAAGAAAAAATCCATACAGTTTTGTTTCTTAGATACATAATACAGATTATTTTCATCTAAAAACAAATGTTGACATGATGATTTTTTATTGGACTATCTTGGGAAACAGGCTTTGCCTGACAACCAATTGAAAAGCCAGCCCACCCGAACTAGAAGTCACAAGCTAAGCTGAGAAAATTCCCATAGTTCTACCAGTTTCCCCATAAAAATTTGAGGCAAATCGGTCAAGGGGTTCATGAGTATATATATGATCGAAAATCCATACAAACAGAGGTTATAACTTTATATATATACATATATTCCCCCCCATTTATCCAAAATTGTGCCGTATTCCCTCTTTTTGTGACAATGGATAAACATTTTGGAAAAATTATCATGAATTTTGAATTTTTACCTGATTTTTGAAAATCCTGTGAGTTTTGGCTCAGTCATTATTCATCACTCATTTTGTTTAGATTCTCACTTTTCAACGTAATTTTTGTAAACTTTGTCTGAAATTAAATAATTTTTTTCAGAATTCAAACCATTTAAAGCGGATTCTTTTATCTTAACACTTTTTTAATAGAAATATCAACTTAAAAATTCAAGATTACTTTTTTATTAAAAACTAGCTGAAGTGCCCGGCGTTGCTCGTGGAATAAAAAAATGTTTTAAATAATTTTGATTTTTTTTGCCTATGGTCGGCAATAGGGAACATATATGAGAATGTCTTGTTTCATTATTTAGATTTTAGTTTTTTCAAATTGTTTAAAGTTTTTATCAAAAACAATTCAATTGTATAATGGTAACTTTAACGATTAATAACACAGTGCAGTGGCTGAGATATATTATTGGGTGATAGACAGAAAATATGAAGAAGGAGGGAGAGGGGGTGATGGGACTTGAAAGGGGAGGAGGGGGGGGGGGGGTATCACATTTCCACATCTAAAGGAAAAGATGAAACGTATAAAAGACATAAATAAAACTTTATTCTTTATTTTGTATGAGTCTAAAAGCACGTATAATATGTCCGTGCAAATGCATACGCAGTAAGCTTTGTTTTCTTATAAAATCTGTACTTAAAACTGTAAGTGATCTTCTGTTATACAATATGGAATGTTTTTTTGTATAATAAGAAAAAAATAACTGAGTTCTATACCGCAAACCCAAATTTAATCATCGCTATATTTTTGAAACCTTATATTCCAAACTTGGTCAAATTTTGTCTAACAGAATTCATAGTTTGAAATATCAAAGGTCTCTTGCATCGGGTTGCAAAGAAATAGGGATTGAAAGTCAGAGTATGTAGCAAGAACTCAGTTCCTTTATTACAGAGGCATGCGCACTGTAGTATACATGTACATCTTGTTTAGAATGTCTAGGGGTGTTAATCACGTCAAGCGAAGTTAAATTGTACGTTAGATTGAAATCTTAAATGTTAAAAAATGCATTAGCCGACGTTACGGAGGCAGAAATGAAAGAGATAACGGTATTTTAATGATTTCTGTTTATAAATATAATAATAATAAAAAATGTACTTTATGTGCATTTTCAGCATACCTAACAGGTATTTGCAATTCGGATGAACTTTATAATTTAATGAATTACTTGCTTCTAAGAAACCGGGCTTCCAGAGCAAGTCAAACTCTTGTTCTTGTATATTTATATATATATAATTATAATTATTTTTCTTTAAAATGTTTAAATGTTTCCAAAACTTTATTTCGAGGCCAAATTTCAAGCTTTCAACTTGTCATTGACCTCCTTCTGGGTCCATGAGAGGTCCTATAAACGATGTGGGTCGGATCACAGAAATCAAAAGGTTGCAAGATCTAACTCTAAAATCAATGAGAATTTTGCTAATTACTTTCTTTAAACTAAAGCTAAAACAAGTGCTTTATAGTTCTAAAATGGGGTCACAAATACAAATAAAATTAAATTAAACTCAAAATTCAAAATTTCCCAGCCTTATAAACTGATAGAGCTTTTCATAGCATTCTGGATTTATGTGGATCAGCTGTTTTGGCGTTCATCAAATCAAGAAACATTAAAGAGACCGTTCACTTTTTTGGGTAATTTGATGGTAAACTAAATAGACTATTAGCTATTCATTGGTATTAGTGTTACTTTTCAAAGACAACTGTGATCTGAGAGAAAGTAGATTTATTATTCAGAATTCCAAATTATTTTAAAATTGTCTATTTTCAAAACATAACTCCTTTTAAACATTTGACGGTTTGATGCGTTTTCTCTACTTTATTGTGCTGTTGTTACTAAAAAAACGTTTAAATAGTGTCCATGCAAAGGTATTTTACTGTTCCGCTGGAATTCTGAATGATAAATCGGCTTTTCTCCGGTCATAGATATCTTTGAAAAGTATACCAATGAATAGCTAATAGGTTAATTAGTTTACCATGAAGTTACCTAAATAAGTGAGCGGCCCCTTTAAAATCAAATTCATATTTTTGTATAGTCTAGATAAATAGATAAATGTATTAATGAAATATGCTGAATTTATATTCTTCTAAAACAAGTAAGTAACAAGTAAGTAACAAGTAAGTAACAAGAAGTAACAAGTAAGTAACAAGTAAGTAACAAGTAAGTAACAAGTAAGTAACAAGAAAGTAACAAATAAGTAACAAGTAAGTAACAAGTAACAACTCTATTAGAGTCAATTATGCAAATGTATCTTAGTCAAATGTATATTCCCATCATTATATATTTGCTATTAAACCTCTAATACTAGACTAGAAAACTAAAATACAACTATTATTTATAAAATAACTTTAGATTGTGTGAAAAAATCAATTCACGTTTATTTTTGAAGATTATTAAAAGGAACGTAGTTTATTAAAAAATTTGGAAGATATTGTCCTTTTTCTAGTCTGAAAAATACGTTTAAATATTAGTATTTCCCTAATATTTCTGTAGCAAGAAATCTAGAACCTATGAAAATAATAAATTAGTTAAAAAATTATGTCCCTTTATTGAAATTACGTCTTCTGTCCCTTTAATGAAGTTACGCCTACTGTCCCTTTAATAAAGTTCTTTAAAACTTCCACTAATGCCCTGCTTCATTGTTTTTCAGTCTATTTTATCCTCATGAACCACAATATTAATAGTCAATAAATGTTAGCATCCCCCCCCTCTACTCCACAGTGACGCTATTTTTTTATTACCACCCTGTCGCCTGGCATTCTCGTGATGAAGAATTGACGTATAACCATGTTGAAAGAAGCAGAAAGGTATGACATATACAGCTTATACAGCTTATACAGCTTATACAGCTTATACAACAGATACCGTTGATGCTCCAGGTTTTGACGTGTTATATAAGAGGTGCTGAGGGGGGGGGGTATATAAGAGGGATG